GCTAAAATTAAATTTTTTAAAGTATGAAAATGAATAACCTACATAAGTTACAAAAGTAAAAATAAAGAATTACAAATTTAAATTAGGTGTTACCTAAAAGACATAGGATTCTAAATACAGTTTGCAAATGTCATTTTTTAATGAATGCTAACTAAATTTTAGGCTGTATCTAACCTTTTGCATAGGCTATAGTTATCCATTTGCGTAGGAAATCCACTTCACAAAACTTATCCTATGCCGACATGCTTAGGAAGTGCCACTTGTGTGCAGAGTTATACCTTGCAGCCCCATATGTAATGGAAAAAATGAGGAAAATTCGGGAAGGTTAAGGCAGATGTAAAAGACGGCGGCGCTTTCACTACTCAGCTGTAACAGAGAATGTAAACACATGCGACTGAATGGCAGGGTGCTAATAACAGCCGCTAGGAAACTGGTAAGCAATATCTGAAACGCTTCCCAAGAACCTTCATTTTAAAAAGGTAGAGTGGGGCTGGGTGGTGGCGGCGCAGGCCTTCAATCCCAGCACTTGGGAGGCAGAGGCAGGTGCATCTCTATGAGTTCGAGGCTAGCCTGGGCTACCAAGTGAGTTCCAGGAAAGGCGCAAAGCTACACAGAGAAACCCTGTCTCGGAAAACCAAAAAATTTTAAAATAAAAAAAATAAAAATAAAAAGGCAGAGTGGGGAAGAGGATGATGAGTGCTTTCATTTTTGACTGTAGTGAAAATTATTTCACGGAGAAAACAAAGAGGACTGGAAAGGCACCTCACTGGCAGAACACTGCCGAGTGTACACAAGGCCCAGGGTTCTGTCCCTGGCACCACAAACCAAGGAAAGCAAGGGATCACAGGTGACGCCTTCTCTCTGACACCTGGATTATCCCCTCCTACTTCCTCTCTCTCTGCCTGGAAGTCCTGCCTATACCTCCTGCCTCGCTAATGGTTGTGCAGCTTTTTATCACATCCATCACAGAACTACACCTCCACACAGTGTACAGATACACAACATGTAGGTGTGATTTTTGTATACAATCTCCAAGCCTAATCAGGAGACTAAACCAGGGTTTAGTTGTCTAGGAGGCAGCGTCGGCCTAGCATAACGGGGGCAGGTGGACCTAAATGAGCACAAATAGATTAAAAAAATATATTATTATTATTATTCCATTTATTTGTGTGCTTGTGTACACACAAGCACAAGTCAGAGGACAACTTTTGGGAGTTGGTCCTCTCCTTGCACCACGTGGGTCCTGGGGCTCCAACTCTGATGTTGAGCGGACAGTGAGCACATTTATCCACCGGTCCATCCCACAGGGCCCCCAGCACCCCCTTTTGAAAGCCACACCTTCAAGTTCTTAGGAGAAAATGAATTCCTAAAACTTTTTATTGGACTGGTAAGATGATGACTCATAAGTCCTGTGGTCTCTATTTATGCCCACGGACACACACATGCACACCAAGTCAATAAATCACGTAATTTAAAAACAAAACAACAAACAAAAAAAATACCTGTGGTTCAAGGGAGGAAACCCAGGACTTTGTACATGCTAGGCAAGTGTCCTACCACTGGGCAACACTCCCACCTCCCTCGTTTTCTTTATGAAATAATTAAATAATAATAAAAGCAGCCAGGCAGTGGTGGTACACACACATTTAATCCCAGCACTCAGGAGGCAGAGGCAGGAGGATCTCTGTGAGTTTGAGGCCAGCCTGGTCTACAGGGTGAGTTCCAGGACAGCCAGGACTGTTACACAGAGAAACCCTGTCTCGAAAAACCCCAATAATAATAATAATAATAATAATACCACTCCACTCAGAGCTATACTGACTACATACTCTCACCCCCTTAATTCACAACTTTCAATGGCTGTTTTTATAATAATATAGAACTCCCTGAGAGTTCTAGGGCTCAACCATAACACATTTAGGAGCATCACTTTATTCCACCAAACTCTAGGCCCTCCTGGGGCTGTTCTGGCAGAAAGACAGAGGGCTTGTGAAACTCCGGTTGCCATGGCTAGGCATGGGGGCTCCATACCTGCCAGGCCTTCTGGCCTGATATAAACTGGAAGGCCCAGTAGGGGGCTCTGCTTCCCCACCTGGGCTGGGCCCAACCAAGGGCCCCCTCTGGAGACTCCATGGCAGTTGGGGTTTGGAGTTCTTGGGATGGACAAGCATGAGGCCCTGGCTGGCACCAGTCCCGAGTTAGCAGACTCTGGACTTGTTATCTCCTGGCATTCTGACAGCCGCCAGCATGGAGGTCAGAGAAGGCCCACTGTAGACTCTAAGGGGGGGTGGGGAGGTGACAGCATGACCCTTTCCTCCTTCCCGGCTTGCTGTCTTTGAACCTTCTCTTTCCTCCAGGGTCTGCAAGAGAAAGAAGTACGGGGCTTCCCCAGACCAACTACTAAGGCAGAAGCGGAAACCTCCTCCCTAGGTCCATCCAATATGCTGAGCAGTAACTGACCCCCTTCCCAGTGTTCCAAGGAAAACACAAGATTATCGGTCAAGTCACCATACTTAAGGGGCGGGGAGCGGGACACTTCTTTGGTGTTCCCCAGCAAGGCTCTGCCACTCGCAAGCAATGTGACTCTGGGGATACCAGTTAACCTCTCTGGATCCGGTGTCTTTAAAAGTCACCCCAGATAACAAGCCAGCCTGTGGTTCTGCAAAATGGCAGGGTGTTACTTTCTTCAGGCATTAAATGGAATAGAGAGACTATAACTGGTAGAGCTGAGTGAGGGGACCACATGCAATACCTTCCACCCCACGAGGAAGAGAGGAAGGGGGTAGAAAATCTTGGAAACCAGGACCCATCCATCCTGTGACTGACAAGCATCCTACACACACAAGGGCGCTGTGGGGGGTTGGGGTGGAGTCCTTCCTGGCCATCACTAAACCCTGAGGAGGAACAGACTCATGGCAGAAAAACACCTATTTTCCCTAAGATTGCCCAATGGATCTGTGAGCTATTCCCCGGCAGGCCACAGAAAAGCAGTCTCCCCAGGAGGACAAGGGACACTTTATATCCTGCTAAGAAGGAGACAATTCACCTTATGTCTGGCTTCCAACCATCCATACAACCTAGCCTACTTGAGCTGCTGAGACTCTAAACCCACAAAATGGTGGCGCTACCAAGGCGTCAGCCACATTCCAGACATGACCACAACGTCCCACCAGGCGGTGAGAACAGACTCACTGTTGGACAGAGAACCACCCAGCTCCAAAGACCCGAGTACTCCGCCACTGTGCCCCACCTCGAACAGGGCGCCCCCTCCTCTAAACTGCTCCAACCAGCAAGGAGACCTCTGGGGTTGCCACCTAATTCTCCACTCCCCACTGTCTTCGCCTGAAAGGCAGAGCGGGTGGCCGGCGAAGGGTGCAAACCAAACACTGACCAAGGGACCTGGGCTTTTGGCATCAACACTGAGTCTGCGACAGAGCTCTGGATCCCCGGGAGCCTGTAATTCTCCTCCTCTTGTCTAAATGAAAGACCAATTACATAGCCTCCCTCAGTCCTCGAGTTGGCTGGTTGCTTAGCCAGTTTCTGGGTCCTTTTATCCCCATATTGGGGCCTCTGTACTGTCCAGGTGAACAACCAAAAGACAAATAGGGCAGCAAGAAGTGTTCTGGCATGGTCCTTCTGGAAAAACCCATATCCTGGGTCAATTCAGTGCCTCTGGTCACACCAATAAAAGTCACACGAAGAGGACCCATCTCCTGACTGGCACCACTGGCAAAGAGCTCAACTGAGTCACCAACAGAAAAGGGACTTTTAATTCTAGTTGTTGAAAGTTGTGATTCTGGCCATTCCTCTGGCTGCTTGGCCAAGGAGGCATGTTGGAACCGCTCAGTGTTTAAGGGTTGTTTTAATAGGTAAGGATTATGGAATTGTACATATTTCAGATCAACAATTCAGGCTGGCCTCAGTACTAACCTGAACACTCCCCCAAGGTCGCAGACCATGTTAAGAACAGGCACTGAACAGAGGTCAGGGTGGCTGGCTACTCTGGGGCCAGTTTCCGCTATCCCCTGAAATCAACAACCCCAGCAAGTACTGTATCCCAGGGGCTAGCTGGGTAAAAAGGACTAATGCCACAACTTCAAATCCAGAGGTTGCTTCAGGAAGCAGTGTTCTGCCAAAGTTGCTCATGCCCTACCCTTCCATTTAGGTCACAGGAAAGCACCCCGTCCCTTACCAAACCAAATTCAGAGTCATCTTGAACACACAGGACACATTAACTATTTGGAAAAGTCCAATCAGTTTGGAATCTGGGCCCGGGGAGATACAAGATTCTTAAAGCTGAACCCACAACCGAGAGGGGCACTTTTCCTGGTGTGATCCCACTCCAGGATCACAAGGTGAATCTGAATGGCTATTTGGGCCATAGTCCTAAAACTCCAAGAGGGAGCCGCGGGTAACCAGACCACCTAATTTGGTCAGTCCCGACCTAAAAGAGTCCAAGAGCCATTCCTGCCGTTAGCCAAGTGGGAAATCAGCTCGGTGCGTCCCTAGCGGTTCTCCATTCCGGCCCAACCTAATCAGAAGAATTGGGCATCACTCTTCAGCCGGAGGGTGGCCTGGCAGGGGGCAGGGAGGAGGGCACACAGGTTCCTGGAATATAAGGTCCAGGCACCGGAGCCACAGGCGAGCAGCCGCCACTGCAGAGCATCCGATCTGCTCATCTACTCCGCTTCCTCTGCGCTCTGTGTCCCCGGGCTCTAGAAAATCCATCTCAGCCTTTCCGCGCAGCTATCGACCTCTCCGGCGCCCTTCTCTCGCTCAGCACATCCCAGGCCCTCTAGCAGAAGGGACAGCTCTGTGACCTCCTTCCTCTCGCCACCGTGGCACGGCGATCAGGTGCCACCAGGACCGGGCTCGGGGAGTGCGCGGCCTCCTGAAAGGATCCCGGTCCTCGGTGTGCCTGTGTCCCCAACCCCCACCCGGTGTCCCCCAGCCAGGAGGTGCGCGGGTTCCCATCCTGCGTGCGCCCGCTCAGTCCTCACCTGCAGTCCTCCAGCCGGCAGTCGGACCCGCGCAGCCTCACTAACCAGGCCCCGCGGCAGCCGGCGACACAGCTACTGAGTGGGTGCGTCCCCGCCGACAGCCACGCGCCCCCTCTCTGCGTCCGGCCCCCGCCGCGTGCGCATGCCCGGCCATATACCCCGCGCGTCACCGCAGGGCCCGCCCCCGCCTGCCGCCCCGCCCCGCTCCCCAGGGCATGCCACGTGGGGCGGCCAGGGAGCAGTGTCCAGTTACCCCAGCCAACCTGGTCCTCTAACGCTATGCATCCCGGGCTCGCATCCTACCTCTCACCGCCTCATCCACCCTTCCTCTCGAATTCCATCCTTGACTCTAAGAGGCCCCGCAGGCTCCTCTATTCTCTGGAAACCTTCCATCTGTCCTTCTGTGCCCTTTGTGGGAAACTCGCACAGCCTGGCCTCCACCCTGAAGTGGAGTGCCCTTCTCTTGGTAGGCATTTGTGTTTTAACACTGCTGATGAATCTAAGAGGCGTCTCTCTGTTTTTCCCCAATTCTAAAATGTTCTCTAAGCAGGATGGAGCAACCCATAGCCTGTTTCCTTTGCATGTCTCAGCCAACCAAAAGAACCGAAATGTCTTGTCACGATCCAAATAAAAGATTATATTCACATTTCAGATTTTTTCAGATTTTCGCATCACTTTCTCGCAGTAATCAGATTCCTAAAGAGCCAGTCAAGCCTTAGGTTTTGTTTGAGGAATGTCTCGGGAGGGAGTCTCTTCCGCTGTAGGAAAGACCTATTGTGTTGGGTGTCGAGCCTCGGATATGCAAATTTCTTGAGAAAAATAAACCACCCACTAAACTCTTATTGTTCTATTCAGCGGGACGTTCTTAGGATTGTTTCCTCTATGGCTTAACCAGCTGTCACCTGGGGCTGGAAGACCCAGTGGCTAGGTACTTTTAATGGCACAGGAGCCAGTGAATACCCATGCTTCTGTCCTAGCACAGGGAAAGTGCCCAGCTGCCTGGAGTAGCTCTAGATTAGTGCGGTAGAGACCCCATCCAAGTGTTGGGGAAAGTTCCCTCGAGAGGGAAGTCATGGGAAAGGAACCCAATGTTCCTAGAACAGGTGGCAGCAAGGACCCAGTGCTCAATGGCAGCTTGCTCTTCAGGGATGCCTAGAGAAAAAAGGGGAAACACGATAGTGGGTGGTGGTGGATGGGGGGTAACAGCCAGTCCTGGTGCAGACCTATCATCTCAGCTACTCTGGAGGCGGGAGGATCTCAAGTTCAAGACCAGCTGGGGCAGTTTTTATTTTGAGACTCCTTCTCAAAATAAAAGGTAAAAGGGGACTGGGTACATGTTGGTCCAGTGCATGCCGAAGCCTGCATGAAGCCATGGGTTCCAGGACAGCAAAACCAGGTCTGGCAATGCCCTCTTCTAATTCAGCACTTGAGAAGTGGAGTCAGAAGGATCACAAGTTTAAAGTCACTCTTTGGTCTCATAATGAGTTTGAGGCCATGCCTGAGCTACCTCTGTCTGTAAACTGATTGTGTCTTGCCTAGCATATACAAAAGATAAAAGTACAGAGGCCCAGTCAGATTCTTCTGGTCACTCTGTGATTTTCTAAAATTCAGTTATCTCCGCTCTGTAATTACAGTGCTCCAGTGGGTAAGGGGAGAGCTGTGATAGCCCTCTCATTTACTTTCTGAGTGATTCTGAGGTAATGATAGCTCTTGCAGAATTTCCTCCAGAGCCCCTTCGACTCTGTAATAACACTGAATATTTGTCTTGGTTAAACTTAGAGTTTTTCAGACATTATGTCATCCACATGGGACTCCAAAGTGCAATGAGCAGTAGGAAAGGTCAGTCTCCCATCAGGCCTTTCCTCGAAGGCGTGTATAAAAAGAGTGAGAAGCCCACCTGGAGAGAAGGTATCAAATACTTCAAATACACAGATCTCTGAATAGGAGGAAGCCCCTAAGTACATATCCCACAGGACGGCAGGCAAGGTGTGAGTACCACAGCTTGCATCAAGTGGCTGTCAAAGACTGCGCAGAGTCCTCGGTGGGAGCTGGCCACCATGTATGTAATGCCAGCCCTCGGTCTGTGAAGTAAGAGTCAAGGGGTCAAGGCCAGTTCAGCTCCACAGTGAGAGGCCAACCTGGGTTACCAGAGACCCTGTCTCCAAACAAACAACAAACAAACGAGCTAATAGAAAGTACTAGCGGGAAAGAGAGGAGTGAGGGACACCCCATCTCGGGGGCCTGTGTGGCATTGTCACTTGTTTGTAGAACTGTCAAAGTCCACAGGGGCAACTGGAGGAGTTGATAAGCTATCTCAAGCTGATAAGCTATACACAAGAGAAATACAATTAATCATTAACATAGCTTAAAATCAAAAGGTCCTAAGTCTCTGTATCCGCCCCCACAGACATTTCTTCAGGAGGCATATCCTGATTAGATGTCATACCCTGACTAGGTCCTGCCTTGTCCGTGACAGTGATGTTTACCACACATAGTAACAGTTTGGAGCCTGGGTCCTATGTCATAACCCGTGTCCCTGCCCCCCTTACTGTATTGTCCCCCCTTTTCCTCTCATCCCTTCCTCTTAGTAAGTTTCCTGAGTGTTCTGAAGTATATTTGATATTCTTTCAGACTTTTCAGAAACCCGTATTTTTAAAAAAGCTATATACTTGGTGTCTCACAACCCTCTGTAACTCCAGTTCTGGGGGGATCTGATCCCCTCTTCTGGTCTCCATAGGCACTGCACACACATGGTGCACTTCCAGGCATGAAGGCAAATCACTCATACATGTAAAACTAAAAATAAATAAATAAATCATAATATAGTGCCACAACACCAGTATAAATAATATATCAAGCAAAAATTCCATAAAACAAGGTCTAAGAGTGTAGTTCCTTTGGTAGAACATTTGCCTAGCATGCTTGAGGCTTTGGATTCAATTTATAGGACCACAAAACAAAGGGCCAGGCATGATGGCCCATGCCTTTAATCCCAGCACTCAGGAGGCAAGAGTTGTCAGATCTCTGTGACTTCAAGGCTAGTGACAAACTCACTAAATATGATTTTGTGACCATTATTGGCTTGTCATCTACAGAATTAGTATGACTTATGGAACTTGGATTTTTCCCTTGAGAGCACTTCATTTCTAATACGAGCTTTTTATTATTACATTTATCTGTTTATTTATTGTTTGTACGTGTTTGTTTGTACTTGGGCACCATGACATGTGTGTGGAGGTCAAAGGACAACTTGCGGGGAGTTGGTTCTCTCCTTCCTCCATGTGGGTCTCGGGAATTGAACTCTGGTTGTTAGGACGGTGCCTTTACCCACTGAGCCATCTTGCTGAGACCCAAGTATTTTATTTCTATCCCTAACCTTAGACCTTAACCTGCCTTGATAAGAGATTCCAATGGGTACCTGAACCCCGTAATAGAGCAGTTTGCACATAACAGGTTCTCTTTAAATATTTGTTGGCCTGGCTAGCAGCTCCCTGGAGATTGGATGTTGGGCAATATTTAAGGGAAACTGACATGGTCATGGCCCTGCCAATATATGCAGACAGATTTCCTGTAGGAGGTGTGAGGGAACAGCCCTGCAGGAGAAGCCAAAGAAATGAGACACCCATCCTGTAGTGTGGGGGGTCGGGCTGAAGACTCAGAAAGCCACAGTCCTGAGTCAGCTGTGCTGACAGGACAGGCAGGGGATGAGCAGGGCAGACAAGACTCCTCATCCTTCCCGTCAGTTCTGGACCATATTGGTTTGGCCAAGAGTCCACAGCTTTTCTCCAGACTGTTAGATTAGTTCATTTCTCTG